GATTAACCAGCAGATTTGCCCCTGTGTGATAACGTCCTATGTCTTTGACTCCTGCTTTAAGTGGGAAAGTTACTTTTTGTTGCAATTGTGAAGCAGCGAGAGACATCCTTGCCAAACTTCTGCAGATCACTTTGAGATTTACCAGTAGATCTTGTCTACCCCTCTTGTTAACGTTTGTACTTTAGGTTTGAACATTTTGTTCCTACTTTGTGCTGAGAATGCTCCTTGTTAGAGAGAGAAAACCCCAGTTGCTGCTTTGATTATTTTATATTCATTTCTATATTATCTGATTGATTTGAGCCCCTTGGAAAGTCCTCGGATGGTTGGGAACATTTTACCATACCTTGATCTGCAATTTTTATTAGGCACACAAGGTGTGAGGTGAAAACACTTTTGGGAGCCATACGCAGCCACACCTGTGCCAGTTGGCTTCATGGATGGTACAGAACATGGGTGTGTGGAATAACGGCTGCATTCTTTCACTTCAAAGGAGATGTTGATCCGAGCGAATAGAAAAATTTTCATCTATTGGTTTTATGTGGAAAATATGAATTTGACAAAAACCACTTACTCCAGAGAACAGTCGTGGGGAGAGTTTAACTTTGATCAAATCGTGACACTTTCCATTCAAGAACGTATAAAATCTATGAAGAAAAAGAAAGAAAGAAAGAAAGAAAGAAAGAAAGAAAGAAAGAAAGAAAGAAAGAAATTTCTTTGTTATTTGTTATTAAGAAATTATTTAGCAGCGGCGTTTCCAAACGAAATGGCTTTTTTTTCCATGCGGCTGTGTCAGAAACAAAACACTAAGCATACCATTTTGACCAAGAATGCTAAAATATTTTTTTTGGGGGGGGATGTTTTGGGTTTTCCCCCCCCATACTCGGTCAAAGCTGCTTTTAAAATATCCTTTCCATATTTTTGGTTTCCACCCCAATTTGGAAAGAAAAGAATCAACTGGGAACATTTGGACTACCATATGTAGAAATAATCCCACCCCACCTCCCACTCCCCAAATGTGTCCTCTGTTCTTCACATGTTTGCTGAGATTTATATCAAGCATGGAGCTTGAGGAAGCCCAGGGAGAAGGGACTAGACATAAAGTCTGGATCATCGGAGTTACAAAATGTTGCACGATGGAATGTTCCTGGTCAGTCTTCCAGGCAGTTAGGCTTTCTTCCAAGATCATTTATTCCCCATCCTATTTTTAATTTTCCATTCGCCATCCCCATTTATTTATTCCCCATTTATACCACTTACTGATCACTCCCCTAATAATAATAATAATAATAATAATAATAATAATAATAATTTTTATTTATATCCCACCCCTCTGCCAGGCAATCGGGGCGGCGTACAACATTCAAAACATCAAAACAACTAAAATCAATTCAAATCCCATCCCTCATTCCCACCCCCCAAAAACAAATCAAACAAAACAAATTAAAAGACAATTAAAATTAGCTTAACTCACAAGGCACATCTATGCAATAAATATATTTTTCTACTTCTACACTAGAAGTAGGACCGTTTCGGCAACCGCTCCCGTATTATGGAACGGCCTGCCAGATGAGATCCATCATATTACCACCTTAAACAGCTTTAAAAAGGCTGTTAAGATGGATCTCTTCCGGCAAGCCTTTCCTGAATAGATATCCCGGCCGCCAAAAGATAGCCCAACCTGCTTGTCTCCGATTCTGCTGCAGTTATTGTTTATTTGTGTTATTATTTTAAGCGTCTTTTAAATTGTCAACTGTTTAATAGTATTTTAAGGGGTGGGTGGGATATGGAATGTATATTTTAATGTTGTAAGCCGCCCCAGTTGCATTACGCAGAGGGATGGGCTAAAAATAAATTATTATTATTATTATTATTATTATTATTATTATTATTATTAATTTTACAAATCTTGGATTTCCCCTAAACCTGCTGAAACCTTTCTTGTGCACGGTTGGTGTCACTTTGGCAACCTGTTGTTGTTGTGTGCCTCCAAGTCATTTTTGTCTTACGGTGAACCTACAGCAAAAGCTGTCACAGAGTTTTCTTGGCAAGTTCCTCCAGAAGGGCGTTTGCCGTCACCACGCTCTGGGGCCGAGAGAGTGTGACTTGCCAAATGTCACCCAGTGGATTTTTACGCTCAAGCGGGGATTTGAACCCCGATCTCCAGAGTCAGAGTCCAACATTCAACCCACTATACCACTCTGGCTGTCTCTTTGGGAGCCATATTTTGACACTGAGTTTGTTATTAATATGAAGTGACTTCAAAGATATAGCTGTGTTAGTCTGAAGAATCAGTAGATAGAGAGATCTTGTAGCGCCTTTGAGACTAACGGAAAGAAAGAAGTTGGCAGCATGAGCTTTCATATAGACTAAAGTCTACTTCCTCAGATGCCTTTGGATGGAATATATATTCAAAGATATAGGGCCTTTGCAGACTGCCAGAAATAG